TGTGTTCCCAGCATTAGTGTTTGTTTTGTTTTTTTTTGTGGTCACCACCATATGCCTTATAGTACTTGAGATTTTACAGGGAATGTTTAGCTTGTTTACCAGAGGCATGGGATTTCATATTTTTTGGATATTTTGATTACAATTGAAAAAAACACAAACTTTTTTATTTTTTATATATATATATATATATATATTATATATATATATATCATTTTTCTGTCCAGTAATTCCACAATTAAAAGCTACTAGTTTTCATTTCATTGCCTTCAGCAGCAGTTTTCCAGAGACATGGGTTGCCAAGTTTAATTTTCATATCTGTGTTTTCAAAAAATCAAGAGACATAAAAATCTGCAACAAAGGTATTGTCCAGGGCCTCAACCCCAAAAAGAGAGAAAAAAAAACAATATATGTATATATCTGTGTTTCCCCGAAGATATGACACTGTCTTATATTTTTTTGGCTCAAAATAACACACTAGGTCTTTTTTTTCGGGGGAAGGTCTTTATTTTTTAAATGTCCAGGTGTGGACAGGGGGTGCAGAGGTGAGCTGCAGGAAGTTGTGGATGAGGGTTACTATGGAGAGGGCCGATTGATGACAGTTGTGAGCTGCAGTCAGGTGTTGCAGAGGTGAATTGACAGGTGAGTTTCAGACAGGGTGCAGGGATGAGCCGCAGACAGGGTGCAGGGATGATGAGCCGCAGACAGGGTGCAGGGATGAGCCGCAGACAGGGTGCAGGGATGAGCCGCAGACAGGGTGCAGGGATGAGCCGCAGACAGGGTGCAGGGATGAGCCGCAGACAGGGTGCAGGGGTGAGCCGCAGACAGGGTGCAGGGGGTGAGCCGCAGACAGGGTGCAGGGGTGAGCCGCAGACAGGGTGCAGGGATGAGCCGCAGACAGGGATGCAGGGATGAGCCGCAGACAGGGTGCAGGGATGAGCCGCAGACAGGGTGCAGGGATGAAGCCGCAGACAGGGTGCAGGGATGAGCCGCAGAGCCAGTACAGAATGCAGGGTGCAGGGATGAGCCGCAGACATGGGATGCAGAGATGTGAGCCGCGGCCAGGGGGGTGGAGAGGTGAGCCGCGGCCAGGGGGTGGAGAGGAGAGGCCGTCGGGCATGCCAGGGCGGTGGAGAGGTGAGCCGCGGCCAGGGGGTGGAGAGCTGAGCTGTGGCCTGTCGGGGTGGGGGTGCAAAGGTGGGTTGCAATTTCAGCTCACCTCTGCACCCCACCAGCTGCAGTTCACCTATGCACCCTGTCTGCAACTCCCCTGACTCAATTTACCTCTGCAACACCTGACTGCAGCTCACTTTTGCACATCCCCCCTCCCCCTCCACTGCCCTCATAGGGTTAGCTAGCTTTGCAAAACACAGCTGTCAGCAGCCAGCCCCTCTCTATAGTAACTCCCGTTTGGGGTCCTATCTTCCCACACAGTGCACCAAGCGCACTTACTGCTCCGTCTCTTCCCCACTGGCCGGTGATCACCCGTGGGGCATCGGCTTTCCATGCATTAGGCTGCAGGATGAGATGCCCCCCACCCCACCCCTAAACACACTGCACACCGCAGATATCTGTTCCTTCCCCCTGTCCCACAGTGAGTACAGAGGTAGGGGGGTTCTTGTGGGAGCAGATGGTGCGTCACTTCAGTCGCACTTCTGTGTTTATAAGAGACAGTAGTATATTGGTGTGCGCAAGGGCCATAGGGAGTGGCATGAATGGCGTTCCACCATGTTCCGGCTGAAAAAAAGCCCTGATCACAACTAGGTCTTATACTTTAGCAATTCCCAAAAATAGAACTAGGTCTTATTTTCGGGGAAAGAGGGTGTGTATGTATATATATATATATAATGCATATATATATATATATAAATATATTATATATATATATACTATATATATATATAGTATATATATATATATGATATGTGTGTGTATATGTATGTGTGTGTATATATATATATATATATAATATATATATATATATAATGTATATGTTGTGTGTACCTCGGTTTACGAGTTTAATTCGTCTATGCGGGACTTTTCGTATTGCGAAAAATTTGTAAACCGAAACGCGGTTTCCCATAGGAATTCATTGAAAACCAATTAATCCGTTCCAGAGGTCAGAAACAAGTAAAAAAAAAAAAGAATAGTCTTTTACCTGTTTAAAAAAACTTCTTTATAAAGTGCACTTTAAATGCATAAATACTGTACAGGGACATGATTAACAAAAAAAAATCGTAAATGCACTGAAAACCAATTAATCCGTTCGTATTGCGAAAAAAAAAATTGTAAACCGAGGCATTATTTTCAGTGGATTTTCATTCGTAAACTGAAAATTACATTAACCGAGGCGTTCGTAAAACCAAGGTACGTGTGTGTGTGTGTATATATGTATGTAATATATGTGTGTCTGTGTGTTTATTTTTATATTTTTATATATATACATTGTCCTGTTTTCATTGTTGAGAACCTCGACCTAAGAAATGCTGCATGTATGCAGGAAGTGGGGGCAAAATGGCTATGGGGGGATCTACAGCACTGAGAGGCAACATAGGGTGTCAAAATGGGCAATTGTTTGATGCCCAGCATTTAGCAAACCAGTTGTCATTCAGTTGATGTTTACATCTACTGTAAAGTTTTTTGCCTGGAGGAACAGAATTAGGAGGATATAAATTATGATAAATGATTCATTTTGTGAGTGTTGTGATGGTAGGTTGGCACGCCCATCACATGTATGCTGTAAAACCGATGATTGGTTGTGGCTGCATTGTGTTTCCTGCATACTTCACACTACCCTCCATACTTCTCAGAGTCATGGCTGTGAAATATGCCGGCTCTGTAAACAGAAATGATTGATTTATATAAAGATGGCTTAGGATATTAGAGGCTTCTCACGTTCAGTGAGGTGAGGATTCCTCAGATGGCAGTGCCCACACCTTGGATCCCCCACCTGGTGACAAGGCCTGAATCTTTACCTTGCTTCGCTTGACTAATCAGTGTTGTGTTTTTTTTTTTTTTCTTTTTTTTTTTTTTTTTTTTTTTCTTTTTTCTCTGCCCTAGAGTCAACCTGTACAAGTTACAGAGGTGGAGCCCCCTCCACAGCCTTCCCCAGAGCTCATGCTACCCAACACCTTGAAGCCAGAAGAAGGACTGGAAGTCTGGAAGAACTGGGCACAGACCAAGAACGCAGAGTTGGAGAAAGACTCTCGCAACCGATTAGCACCCATAGGAAGTAGGTGTTTCTATATATTTAGATTTGTTACCTGGCATTAAATGACTAATTGTTAAATACGTGTACAGAACTTTTAAAAATGGTGAAAAAAAACATTGATTTATGAACTTTCAACACTTGGGACAGGAGAGGCATATTAACCTCCCTGACGGTATTCCTGAGTGTCGCTCGGGTAAAGTTTCAGTATCAAAAGCGGTAACCCCAAGCTACACTCGGGCTTACCATGCGGTGCTGCTCCGGTATCTGTTCTTCACGTACCTTGTCCTGCGCTCCTGCGATGTCCCCCCTGTCCCCAGCAATGTCCTCCCGGCGGATGCCGGCATCTGTCATCTGGGTTCCGTCCCCTGCAACGTCGGGACGTACGGGGACGGAACTAGCGGGAAATTTGAAAAATGACAAAAGTGACATTCACTAAATACACTAAAATCACATAGTATAACATTCCTGTATCAAACCATTTCACATACATTTTGTCCTGAGTGCTTTGTCCGGCGCCCTGCCTGCATTTTTTGCTGTTCTTTCTGCCTGGAAACTGAGAAACGTCCATGGCGTCCAAAAAGCGTCCCTTTAGGTCAAAAGCGGTTTTTAGACCGGCTAGAGAACAGCGATAGTAAATCAGAACCACTTGCAGAATTGAGTGATAATGATTCGTGGGGGAAATTCCTCATCAGACACTGAAAACGATTCTGCGACTTTGCTCAGTGATGTGCGAACTTGGCGCTATATTTCACATTTCAGTGTTTTTGGTTTGATTATATTATTGAAATAAATTTTTTATATTTTTTTTTTATGATTTATTAAATTATAATTTTATGATTTCGTGTTTCAAATTTTATCATACCGGGATGTTTACTAGACTCTTGTTCGGACAGATTTCAGTGAGTTATTCCTAAAAATTACAGCCTGCAATAAAAAAAAATTACATATTTCAATGCAAAAGAATGTACCGCTTTGAGCACAGAAATATGGACATACTCAGACCGCTAGGGAGGTTAAAGTGGAGTTCCACCCAAAACCTAACTTCCGTTAAACCTGCTGTCAACCTCCTTTCTAATGAAATGGAAAAGGATTCTGCTGCGCTCATGGAATATACTGTGTATACTAATACCCTATGTTGCAGCAGTCCTAATTGTGAACTGAATAGACACATAAAAAAAACTCTATCATATAGACTGCGCACACAGAATGTGACACACAAAAACAGATTTGTAAATATAATAGCCATAATTAAAAATAATAATCAAAAAATAGGATCACTGGTTAAAACCCGATATCTCATCTGGTGAATATATACTGGCTACCATTGGCAACGTTGTGGAGTATATGTAACAGCATTGGTACCATAAATACGTGGCATTTTGGTCAGTCCCAAACAAAGCGCTAGTGACCTACCTAGAGATAGGTGGTCATGGCAGGATGGTGAGTGTAAAATCCCATGTGGGGCACCAGTCTGAGCTCTATGAAGCACTTGTCACTGTAATTACGGAATCCATTACCAAGGAATCAGCATGTTTGCACTTTATTTGCGCATGTTGAGTCTGCACAAGTTTTTTTTTTGATTATTCTTTTTAGCCTCCTTTTCTAAGCCCAATCCAGCTAACCCTGTAAAGAAAAGATTGCTATACTTTCCTATTCTGAAGCGTCTCCAACGGCGGCTTCCATGTAGAGAGAGAAGGCTGGCAACGGCTGAGAAATGAACAGGAGATGTTGTCACTCATAGACTTACTATGGGGGCATCCGTTGTTGGCTGCTTTTGCTCTACACAGATGCTGCCGCTGGAGACCAGACCAGCTTAGAATATGTAAGTATACACATCTTTTCTTTACAGGGTTAGATGGATTAGGCTTAGAATGAGGGTGGGACTAGGTTTTAGCGTTTGGTTGGGTTTAAGGTGGAATTTTACTTCCACTTTTTGTATTCTCTGTTGTGTCCTTCATTGAAAACGAAGAAAATACTTCCAAAAGCACGTCAGTAACCACTACGGAACACATTGCTATGCACTAAATGCACACAAACGCGCATCAAAATTCTTTTTTTTTTTTTTTTTATTTATTTATTGGTTTACATCATGATTCAATATAAGGACAGATGTTAGATTTCACTTGACATTCATGGTGGGTACATATAGCAATAATCATGGGGACGTACATGTTTTCATACACAGTATCATATGTTCTTAAGAGCGTTTTGGTATCACCTTGGTTTTCTGGAAGGGTAATGTCCACAGATGCATGGATGAATTCAGAGATCACCAGTTTTTCATTAATTTTATGGGTAACGAGGAGGATATTACGTAGTCATTAAGATGGGATATACGAACTAAGAGTTCATGAGAATAGAGATGGGGAGAAGAAAAGAAAAAAAAAAGGGGGGGGGGGGGTAGGGTTAGAGAGGAGGGGCGTTTCATAAAAGGGGGGGTAGGGTCAGACAGGGCGTCCTATAAAAGGGGGGGATTAGGGTCAGTGAGGGCGTCCCATAAAAGGGTGGGTAGAGTCAGAGAGGGCGCCCTATAAAAAGGGGGGTAGGGTCAGAGAGTGCGTATTATAAAAGGTGGGGTAGGGTCAGACAGGGCGTCCTATAAAAAGGAGGGGGATTAGGGTCAGAGAGGGCGTCCCATAAAAGGGTGGGTAGAGTCAGAGAGGGCGTCCCATAAAAGGGTGGGTAGAGTCAGAGAGGGCGTCCCATAAAAGGGGGGGGTAGAGTCAGAGAGGGCGTCCCATAAAAGGGGGGGTAGAGTCAGAGAGGGCGTCCCATAAAAAGGGGGGGTAGAGTCAGAGAGGGCGTCCCATAAAAGGGGGGGTAGAGTCAGAGAGGGCGTCCCATAAAAGGGGGGGTAGAGTCAGAGAGGGCGTCCCATAAAAAGGGGGGTAGGGTCAGAGAGGGCGTATTAGAAAAAAAGGGGGGTAGGGTCAGAGAGGGCGTCCTATAAAAGGGGGGGGGGGGTAGGGTCAGACAGGGCGTCCTATAAAAGGGGGGGATTAGGGTCAGTGAGGGCGTCCATAAAAGGGTGGGTAGATCAGAGAGGGCGCCCTATAAAAAGGGGGGTAGGGTCAGAGAGTGTGCGTATTATAAAAGGTGGGGTAGGTCAGACAGGGCGTCCTATAAAAAGGAGGGGGATTAGGGTCAGAGAGGGGCGTCCCATAAAAGGTGGGTAGAGTCATGAGAGGGCAGTCCCATAAAAGGGTGGGTATGAGTCAGAGAGGGCATCCCATAAAAGGGGGGGTAGACGTCAGAGAGGGCATCCCCATAAAAGGGGGTAGAATCAGAGAGGGCGTCTCATAAAAGGGGGGGGTAGAGCGTCCTCCGAGAGAGGGCGTCTCATAAAAAGGGGGTAGAGTCAGAGTCCTCAGTTAGAGAGAGAGGGCGTCCCATAAAAGGGGGGTAGAGTCCCAGAGAGGGCGTCTCTATAAAAGGGGGGTAGAGTCAGAGAGGGCGTCCCATAAAAGGGGGTAGAGTCGAGAGGGCGTCCCCATAAAAGGGGGGGGTTGGGTAGAGAGGGGTCCCTGGACCCTCAAACCTAAAATAGAGAGGGCTTTCTCAAAATTCAAAAGTTCAGAGTCAAACGAAATCATTTCCCCGTAGAACCTCTGCTCAGGGTTTTTCCTCCAAGGTTGCCGGGTTTCCTTTGCAATGAGCAATTTTTTGCCTCTCAGATAAGTTCCCCCCCCCCGACACCATTGACTTGGGTTTTTGTAAGGGGTAATTCTTCCCCAATGACCACAAGTGTAAGGAGCATTTTTTCCCACTGACCATCACCTAAAGTATCATGGGGTTTTAGATATAAAAAGATATATGAAAAATTACAGCACAAAA